GCGGAGTGAACAACTTTCACCAAGGAATGGAGAAAACATGCACTCGCCACCTGACGTCGGTCACGGAAGAGCAATCTCCTGTATTAGTGTCTTCTGACAACACAACATTGCCGCATAACCACCACCTTGCCTGTTGCTAGCATCCCTTGGTGTAGGCCCTTGGAGGCGTTGTCTGGTGTCCGGAAGACAACTAGAAAGGCTTTGTTGGATCAACTCGATGATTTGTATGGACTATGTGTGCGATAATGTAACTCGAACGCGATCTGTTTCACCTTTATTCACCCAGGCGAGCATGTGTTCACTTATCCTTAACAGGTGCCCTGTTTTTCGGCCAATGTATCGCTTCACAGGGACAGGCGAAGGAGCAAATACACATTGATTTACCCTTCAAGAGGGAAAACTAATTCTTCGGCGTTAAGGTTAAAAGTTCAATCAAAAAAATCACAGGGTTGATTACACCCCGAACACCAATGTTCGCAGCTTTTTGCGGAACGGTCGTCGAAACTAAAATTTAGGCTAATTTTAAAGTCGGGAAAAATGGAAGATTGGTGGATCGGCATGCACAAGTATTGAGAGAGATAACTCGAGGGGCAAAATATAAATGCGAATTTTTGGGGCAAGAAACACACATTTTCTAGCCACGAGTTTCCTATTTTGCAGAGTTCATTTTAATGGGGTGTGGATTGTCGTTATACCTCTATGTAGTTCCCTGAAATATAAGATTACAGATCCCGGCAGTAACTTTATGGATGAGCAACCAGCTGATATAATCATTTTACTCTAGCAGTACTAATGCAGATTAACCTTTCAAGAGCGTCATCGACGTATTGCAGAATTTTTTCGATCTTAGGACGCCGTCTCACAGACAATTGCTAGACTAGACCTAATCTGATCGAGTTGTTGGCATCTAAGTGCCCCTTAAACGAATGGAATGTTTATCTGGCGATGAAGGAGCATATAATAACACCGATACCCGGTGAGTAATAACACGTACTGAGGGTTTAAACAATGTGCATTTGCACTCCCATGACAGTCAAAGTGGCTTGTCCTTCGAAACGGCTTTCAACCAAAGCGTCAGTAGATTGTCTTCCTAAGTAGAGTTTTGTGGAACACAAGCCGCAGACATTGTTTTTTCCCAACAGATTTCCATTTTATAAGGTTGGCGGGAATTTGTTTTTAAATACCCAATTGGAAGACGCTAGACAAGGTTGAGCAGGATCCGTTAGTCAGATCATGCTTGTATGCGAGTGAACTTACTTGATATGCTGAGGCAGTAGGCCTGATCCAGAGGATGGTTGCATTTTGGACAGGGGATTGGCTGTCCTGGGGAGTACTTGACGCCTTTGCGGCGACAGTGGTCGTCACAGAACACCATCTTGCACCGCATGCAGGCGTTGGAACCGATACGATTGCACGAAGGACACTTGAAGTCCTCAGACTCGAGTCTCTGACAGCTGGCCTATGAGTGATAAGTGAATAGCCTGTAGGTCATTTTGTGTTGATGGTGATGATGAAAGGAGAAATGGGTCGTAGAAGAAATTCGAGACTGTAGGAATGATCAGTCTGAGGGATCTGACCGTGCCTCCTATGCGGATCGTATCGCTATTACGCTAGTCCAAAAAGGTAGGGCGACACAAGACCCCAACCACTGTCGCACAGGCTAGTGACAAGCATTAAATGGTGGCGGGAGTCGTGTCAACTAAAATGCCAAATGCCATAAGTAGCCGAACAACAGACCCGAACCTGTCACTGGTGTATGGAAAAAGAGAGATAAAGGAGGCCCCGAGGAAATTAAAGGCCAAAAGACGTAGTCCAAACGGTCCCCAAATGACACGATAATAATTCCTGTTGGGTATGGCTTTAATGGCACTCACGTGTACACGAGGTGTGAACACTCAAGGAAACCTGGCAAGTGTTGAACTGAGGGACTATGTGCGA